TTTTTGTTCACTTGCTTGCAAAGCAATATTTTTTCATTGTTATACCTATTTCATTGCCAGTCAAATCCTGGTAACATCCAAAAATTTCAAAGTTCTAAAGCATTTTTTTTTTGTCTTTACTATAGAATTAAAACCTAATTTTAAATATATTACAACCAAGTGTCTTGACGCACATTTTTAAACCTTCTGTGAAAATAACAGTTATTAAAAAAAAGTGCACAAAAAACATGGGTCTGCACATTATACATGTGACGTTTTTGAGTGCTGCACTTTTTAAGATCTGTCCCCACTGTTAACTTTCAGTGTGAAAGCAGCACTCTCTTTTATAACCACGGCTTCTGTAACCTAGTAGTGCCGTACTCCTAGTTCTGGTTTCAAAAAAGGACTGAGCCATCAAAGCCTCAGCTTCTTAAATTCCACTCTTTTCTCCACAGACTACTCCTAAACCATTGGCTTTTTGGCAGGAGGCAGCCATCAGGTAATACTATCTCTTTTAAAAAGTGGACATGGTTTGCAACAAGGTTTATCTGGATAGTAATGTATGTATAGTAACATCTGCATTGATTAGCAGGAACCAAGATTTCCCAGCAGAATACATCATAAACCATTAATGCGGCTTTCATCTCTTTCATTCCATAGTGCATCATGATTCCATGTGGTCATGATCTGATGTTCAGATGCATAAAGACACGCTAATGCACTGTGCATTGTCACGGCTTTCTACCGGTATTAACTTCTTCAGCAGTTTAAATTACAGTGGCTCCTCTGATGGATCAGACCACAAGGGCCAACCATCTCTGCCCACATGCATCAATGGCTGGTTTACCATAGTGGTTGACCACGATAGACCAGGGAGCCTCGACAAAAGCTGGAGTTTTTTATTTTGACCTACAGTAGTAACATGGTCACCATAATTTGTCTTTAATTAGACTTCCTTAATGTTTTACACCAGACCATTTCCCTGATTTCTCCTGATATCTACTCTGATTGAAAATTATCCCATGCTGCCAGATACAAAATATATCCGTATATTTTTTACTTTACCTCTTTAAGGGGACATTGTTATGCCTGATTGCTAAACATATGCTTAGGTTGGCTGTCTCTATCAGTTATTTGATTGGTCCTGCTTTTTACTCATGCATGTTTACTTTAGTTGTTTGGTTTCTTTTCAAATCCTATTTTTAAACGTTATTCCACCCTTTAGGTTAAATCTAGGTCAGGTTTGAGGAAGATCCTACTGCTAGTGTAGTTTGCATGAATCAAATCTGGACAAAATTATGTCTACTTTATAATGATGCCTTTTTGTATTTGTTTACTCCTGTTTGTTCATCTTCACACCTTTGCCTTGCAGTCTGAGACACCTCTGTGGCCATGTCAGCTTGTTCATCCATATGATATTATTTGGCATCGATCGAGCTGTCTCCCGTCCCCTCCTTTGTCTCCTCCTTCTACCCTCCTCCTCTCCACCTATCTTCCAATTCAAGCCAGGAGCACCGAGACAAACAGAAAATATATCCATTTTGGGAAAAAAAAAATAAAATCTGTAATATTACTATTGCTAACTCAGTTATTATTTATTCTTTTTTGTCTTCATGTTGCATTTTGTTCTTTGTTTTTTTTTTTTTGTTGCAGCACAATATATCCCTCCCCCTTGGAATCCCTTCTTTCTTTCACTTGTGGCCCATCGTCAATTTCAATTTACGAGCAGGTCTTAATGGGACTATAAGAGATCGTTCGATGTTATTGATCTGGATGCCAGCGCATCTTGACCTCACCGTACAACAGCAAAGCAAACAAGAAAAAAAATCTTTTCATCATTGGGGCAAACACAAAAGTTAACACTCCCAAATAATCTAGACAGAAATACACAAAAATAGCCCCACAGATCATTGATCAAAGACATGACTTCAGGAGACAGCAAATATTTGTGCTCTTTTAAGCTACAGCAGCATCAACAATAAAGTGATGCCTGCTTTGCTTTGATCCTATTTGAAAAATGTTATATGCAAACATTGGGGCTGATACTGTTAAATTTGAGATACTGTATGTGAACCAGCTTCTAAGCGACCTTCATAACATGAAGCAGTAAGTCTGTTTCATATATGAATAGATATTTGCCCATTTTTTAAATCTATATATAATATAAAATATAAAATATTTTATGTAGCTAAAAGAATCTTAAGATGTACATCTTTTCACATTTTATCAATTAAACCTACAAAGCCCGAAGTCACCGATCTGGATTTCCCAAAAAAGTCTAGGAAAATTAAGTGCAGAAATGGAAGAACATTTTTACAAATAAAAATATGAGTAGCGAGAATTACCTTATTCTTTTAAAAATAGTGTAAGCTTAGATTAAATAAATATACATTTTAATGTGGATTGCCATACATTTTTAACTCAATTTAAGTCTGGACTTTGACTGGGCCATCTCAAAACATGACTGTAATTTGATCATTGGAGAATGTTACTTGGTACAATAGTCAGTGTAAACCCACCGTCAGGGTTGTTGTCTTGATGGAAGGTGATCTTTCACCCTAGTCTCAAGTTTTTTGCAGCCATAACAGATAATTATCCTGAAAGTCCTTGAGTTTAGTTCCTTCCATATTCCTATCAAGTTTGACCACCTAAACCCAGGGTTCTAGCAAATACGTCAATGCCACAGAGCGTCCTTGAAGCATCCCAGAAGTGTGGTCCACTGAACACTTCTCTAATTTACGTGGCTACGTACGTATATTTTTCACACTTGACACTTCAAGTCAAGTATGAAAAAGGCAAGTCCTTGTCAATCTAGATGAGACCGGATCAATGAGGCAGTAAATCCAGTAGAGTTTCAAAGTTAATCACTTTATGTGCAGACTGTGGATTGCATTTTACTCGAAAATATCTAACATTTCTTGTAGCTCCAGAAAAGAGGCAAGGACAACCTCATTTCATAGAACACCATGGGCCACCAAATGTTTATTTTGGAAGGGGAAAAAACAGATATTTTACATAACTCATCTTTTTTATAAAGCTAAAACCAGAAAGGAAATGGAATGAGCTGAGAGGTAAGGTGACCAGACAAAGAGCAGGCTGCCATACACTGGTTGTACTGGTTATATAGCCACTTTATTGTTATATTTAAAGCCTACATTTATGTACAACTACAGCGCAATAATGCAATCCTGGTGTGACCCGAACCCAACTGCTCTGAGGCACTCTTACTCCTGAAGTAATATGCTCTTCATAAGCCTTCATCACCAATTTCTCTGTAATCATCCTCTTTTTAAATTCCACATGTGGACTTTATTCCCTACCTGGGCAACTTCTGAGAGAATAGCTTATTAGGGATGAGAATCGAAAACTGGTTCCTGTTCAGAACCGGTTCTGTGTGTTCCAATTCCATGGCACCGTTTGGCAGCTGGCTTAACAATTCTCTTAATGATTCCAGGCAGCACCAGAGCCGCTCTGGGCAGCAGGACTTACGTCACATTTTTACGCAAGTTTCGCACACGGTATTCAGTGAGCAAGTAGAATGTGACCAGGCTTAAGTCTAGAAAAGCAAAACAAAAGCGGTCAAAGCGATCAGAACAGTTTGGCTTCATTTTAAGGAAAAGAAAGATTGCAACAATGCGCTTTGCAATCATTGCAAAGTGGCAATTACATTCCTCTGCGGGAGGAAATGCATCCAACATGCAGAAACACCTGCGCACACAACATGGCATGTTTTTGATGCCTTGGAGACAGAAGCTTAATGTACGACCAGTATGGTAGGCAATGGTGGTAAGTAGCTAGTTTTATATCACTGGCTGTGCTTAATGCGGTTCCAAGTAAATCATATGCCATTTCTGGAAATAAACCAGTTTCCTACCTCTCTTTAGGTGTATTAAGGGAGTTTGCCTTTCTCGTTAATCCAGCCCTTATTGCTATCATGCTGAATTAGAACTACTAGTAGCTTGAATTCTTACATGATTCTAGCTAATGCAATGGATGTAATGAAACATGCTTTGAAGTTGCTCCGCAGTTCAGGGAACAAGACAAAGGTGAGCTCGTTTATTTAAATCGGGGGGAGATGAGTTTATTTCCCGAATTTGTACAGTAATGCATTTTCATTAAACGGATGCCTTCCCCATTAGATTTAGATGACTGTGACGAGACGGGTAGCCTGGCTGGCTCAGAGGCTGGCAGCTCCCGTTCACTGCCTTCTGTTTTCTTCCAGGGAGGCAGAAATAGGGTGTCACAGGAGAACTTGACGAATGTCACCGTGCACTTACCAAGTTCATTGTTTCACAGAATCAATAAGAGAATAGATTAGGAATTGTGTCATTTCACAGAATCCATAAGGGAATCGGAATCGTGAAAATCTTATCAATTCCCAACCCTATAGCTTATGTTGAATAATTTTTTTTAAATGGAGTAAATAAGGCTGAATAAAAAAAGAAAACACCTCTCTAAACAAACATGCAATTCTAAAAAAAAGTTTGGAAACTATGTTTTATTTTATTTTCACTTTACATATTTTATTAATTTTGTCTTTGGTTATTATAACACTTCATAAAACACAATTAAAATTGGTAGCTATAACTTGTTTTGGTAGTGATACAAAATGTGAAAACAGAAAGTGCTTTAAGGATCTGGAAATCAGAGAAACAGCAAAGGAAAGATTTTGATTAGGGGGAATGTTTTTTTTTTTGAGTGACATAATTTCCTTTTGCTGGATCAAACGCTGGCATAGAAAAAGTATGCATGGCATCCCTTCATACAGAGCCAGGATCCAAGTCTCCTGAGGGATCTCCGAGTGTTTTACAGAAATTCAGAAATAAAAAGAAAGAGCATATTATGTGTATCAAGCTCTTCGTATCGCTCTGCATTGCCATGAGAGACAACACTGCTGCTGTACTCTGACCACGCCTTCAATCAATTATTTAGGCAGAAAACAAAGGTCTGGACCCGGTCATTAATAATGGAGGGTGCGAAGGCAAAGAGAATGATGGAGGTTAGAAACAGACAACTGAAGTTACAGACGGTGAATCTCACATGTTTTCTTCCCAGACAGTAGAACTCTGTAGGAGGTGGCTTGGGTCAAGCCAGTGAAAAGAGGCAAAGAGGTGCAGATGGATGCTGAGCTGAATGTACACCCACAGGTGTTCAGCATTTCACAAAGACTTTGATACATAGACAGAATTTGTTACTAGAAACGACTTGCACATGCCACTGAAATTGTATCATAAAACCACTATTTCAGAACATTCTCTGCTGTTGTGTATCTGATATAACAAGTTCTTTTTGTATCAAGTCAGATGGCATGCCAGAGAGGCGTTGGGGAAAGCAGGGCAAGTGAGACCAGGGGGATTTGTGATTTTCATGTTCAATAAGTGTGTTAGATGCCTTATTCTTGATGGCCTTATTATTTTTCCACTGAAAATATTTGATCATGCATCCAAAATGAGAAAGTAGAAAGGACTGTACTAGGTGATGAAAAGTGATGTTGGAATAAAAGAGAAATAAGTAGTGGAAGTGTGAGGGAAGAAGAACATGGTCTAAATATAGGTTTTTTGAGAATGGAAAAAGGTAAAATGAGTAAATATATATTTGAGAAAGCGCACCCACCTTTGTGGTCTTGACTTTGTTGCCCGTGCTGCAGCTCCATCCTGTGAGGTCCGGTAGAACCTTGCACTCCTCACCTTCCATACACGGCTGCATCTGACACCACCACTTTTGGGCAACAATGGATGCTGTAAAAAAGAGAAAGGTGAGGACTGCTTCAGTCATGGAGGTTTTGTTTTTCAATCAAGTACTGTGTACTTTGTTTTGACAGTGCATTTGTTAATTTTGACACCATGCTCCCCTGAGCCATGCTACCATGTAATCTTCACAGCAGCAACAGTGTTTCTAGAAAAATAAACTTGATTTTATCACAGCAAGTCCTGGGGATATCAAGAGTTTGGCATGATGTGATAAACAGTTTGTGGCGTGGATGCTTTGTTGATTAAAATAACACATGAAAGATTATGGAGTCCCACCGACACTACAAATGAACCATTTGGATACATAAGCCTGTGATTGTTGAAAATATTAATCTTGTAAATATATTTTTACTCATTTGTTGCACTTTATAACGTTTGTTGTACGGTGCTTTGGGTAGATGTAGCTGTTTTGTACTTTTGAAAATAAAAATAAAGACATTGGGAAATTTGGGAAGTGCCTTCATCATTGTTGGGGAACCAGCAGTAAAGCATAAAGGATACATGTTTTATAAAAGGTGTTTTTTAATTATTTTTATATAAAAGATGAATAATGATTAACAAATCTAAATGTTAGCCAGGTAGGTAAATAAAATAGGTAAAATGAAGAAACTATGCACAAAATCATAACTAAACACACCCTAAGCAAATATAAGTCAAACTGGTCATATTCGACCCCTGAAGGACAAGACCAAAACTTTGAAATATCTTGGCCTTTTCTTGCTCTCATTACTCCTTGGTCTCGGTAGGTGTGGTACTGACTTCAATACTACAGTATGTGATTATGCATATTATATGTATTCATTATTAGGACAATCGTTTATTTGGAGGGGCTTTTGGATAGAATCTTTTGTCTTTCATAATTAAAACTGTATAATTGAGCCAATTTCCCTAGTGTTGCAAGGATCGGTTCCTTTTTATGATTACCCTTTGATTACATCTATTCTGACAAAACAAATCCAATGCTATACACAGATGACAAAAAACAAGACAGAACAAGGACTGAAAATGTTACAGTACACATTCAGCAAAAAGACACAGATGGAGGAGAAGCAGCAACAGGAAGTATCTTCGAGACAGAAGACTGTCACCGACAGAAGAAGTGATTTAGGGACTGCAGATTACGGTTGTAGAAAATATTTATACTTTCCATAGTATTGTTATTTTTCAAACCCTGTATCCACTTAAGGATTCAATATGAATGTATCATGGTATCAATACTTTAGACAAGTATTTCTTGCTGATATTTGCCGTTGTTAGTTTGAGATTTCTGAAATATTTACTTAGTTACTTATTTTATCATTGGATAATCTGTTCCATGTTGATATTGAGACAGGTTTTTCCTATTTACAAATAAAGATAGCATTTTTATCTTAAATGGAATCAGTATTGATTTCCAGTTTGAAATGTTGATATTGTGACAAGCCTATTGCAGGCTAGAGAAGCCTCACTACTTCTCTGCCCATACAACATGTTTGGAAGACAGAACATCAGTCAATTTGGTTTTTGCAACATTTAAATAGCTGAAATAGCCTGTAACTGCCAATTCAGTATTCTGCTTTGTTTATGAATTGTTCGGCAAATCAAATCAAGCAAGGGTTCAAAAAGATACCCTCATCACCACTAATTACTGTAACTAGAGCAAGAAAAATCAATCATACTGCATTAAACATGCTTTTCAATAAATAAATTTTTGATTAGTCAAATTTCATATTCTTATCTCAAATATGACATTTTATCAGCAGTAAGTGGTCATTATATCTAATTGAAAAAAAAGCTTTAAATAATCAGTGTGTGCAATATTGTATATAATTTTTTTTCAATTAGTGACTAGTGAATTTAAGGAACTCACAAACCATATTTATCTTAAATCTATTGAGATGCTTAATTTGTGTTTTTAAAGAAGTACATAGTCTTTTTCTTAGCTGTCCACCTTTTAAAAGGAAAGTTTTTCAATGTGCACATAATCTGTTGTTTATTGTGTGGGAGCAGAGCTTGGCCTCTCTAACCCTAAGTGGGGTAAAGTACAGTAGGTGCAGCAAATGCATTAGTGTAAAGTGGGTAAAGTGAAGTAAGAGCTATACTGAGAGTGTATCATCCTCACATGCTGTAAACAATTCTTACTGAACAGCAATTCTTGCTTAGTTTTGATTATTTCTACAAAGTCCATTTTCTTTTTTTTCCTAAAATGCTATTCGAAAATGACAAAAACACACATGTCCAATTAACTTGTCAATATAAATTGCCTTGTTAGGTGCAAATATGTTGGTGCCTGGTTGTTTGTCCTGTGTGTCTCTATTTCTGTGTTACCCTGTAATGGGGGACGTAAACAGCTTCATATGCACGAATTAAAAACCATGGATGGATGGATGGATGGATGGATGGGTCAGCAGGATACAACAAATTCAAAATATGGTTGTGAATAGGTGAATGTTGACACCAGTGATAAGAATGGATTATTTCTAGGATGATTCTTTTCTTTCAGAAGAATACTCAAAAAAAAAAAGTCTACAAGTGGCCTGTCTCCTGCATCATAGAAGTTGTTTTCTGTTGTTTGTAAATGGTTATGGATACATATCTCATAGATAGTTGTTTTTTTTTTTTTAAGATGCTTTGCGTTTATCACTGACAAGCTCTAGCTTAAATTTTACTTCAAAAACTGCTATTTAAACACATTAGTGAGGTTTGGGCATATGACATACTGTACTATAATTGACCTTATAATGTATTTGGGAGGCTGAAGACTTTATTTAGCTGTTGTAAATAATCTAATCTAAAAATCAGATTCACACATCAAGATTTTTTTAGAGATACAGTATTATGAATGCACATTTTTTGCAAAGGATATGAAGTGTAACTAAAGTCACACCTTCAGTTAGTCTCACCCTGCCAGAGATATAGAAAGACTACAATCCAGACAACAGAGATTACTGTAGAGCAATATGTGATAGACTACATCGGGATCTATATTGCTGTTCCAATGAGTGATTCTTTTTACAGCAAGTAACAGGAAAAAAAAGAAAAGAAAGCAACATTTACTGAGCAGCTGGTGTCACATGGATGAGTTTCACAAAAACTGTCACACAATAGCACATCTCTTAGATTTGAATTATTTCCAGTGCAATTTTGGAAATACAAAACACCTTTTTTTTTTAAGAAAAGGACAAAGTGAACCTCATTGTTAAAGCGTATGATTGTTCAAGTAATAAGAGGAGAGCAGGCTGAGGTGCGTGTGACCATCACAGAGATTCCAAATATTTTCACTGATATGCAAACCATGTGAATTTGATCATAAAAGCATGTACCTTCTCATAAACCAGCAAAACGATCACTGGTACAGAAAGTTTCTTTAATTAAGAAACTTACAATTTTAGAATTTTAAAGACTTTATTGCTTTATTTTCTTTTTCACATTAACACACACTATGACTTAGAGTTTTTTGAAACCTAATATATTAGTTTGATTTTACATGATCACATTTGTGTTATAAACATTGTTTATCAGGATGTGCCTGAATCAGAGCTTTTCTTAACCTGATCTGTTTTTTCCCCTTACTCTCTGTACCAGTAAGTAATCGTATCTTCAAATCTGTCATAAGTCAGATCAATAATTATAATAAAGTCCATGAAGTAAAGCAGTTTTAATACTGGCAATAAAAACACATTGATTTAGTAATGATGTAATGCAGACAGACATTTTGATGTACCAATAGTCTTATTTAATCTGCCTCCTGTGGGCTCATCTCATCAGTTGCCAAAAAGAGCAGCAGGAACTACAAGAACAAAAGGTGCCATGGAAGAAGAGATTTGCAGAAAGCTTCTTGACAGAGAGAATTTTTCTTCTCTGACTGCTGGTTATGGGTATGCTACATTCTGACTGAACAGCGTTGTTACATCCTTCCAATTGAAATAGAGGCTTTTGTAAGTCTCTCAGAAAGCAAAGCAAAGTATGGAAGAGACCTCTCCCCTTTTAATAAAATATACTTTGCTATTTTCTTCCAGAAAGCATGTGATCCATTTAAGATCTTCCAATGTCTCCTAAGAATTATGTGAATGTTTGCACATCTTTTCTAAAAATGTGTCTTTTTTATGAAAAAACATGTTTGCGCTTAAACTGTATTGAACTGCAAACCCCAAACTGGGAGTGAGATGGATTATGGCATAAATTTGAATTATAGTACTAAAGAGTTATTCAAAACAAACATTATAGAATCCTAGTGAATCCTGTTATTTTACCAAGTAGATCATTTAAGACCACATGTTTGTCTCTTTTTGTCTTTACTTATGTTTTTTTTTTTTTTTTAGATAATTTACAAGTGTTCATACATAGATTTTTGTTTTGAAAATTATTTCCATCACTTATCAAATTATGTAATATTGCTTACACTTCAGTATTGTTTGAACCGTCTTCGACCAGGGGCCTTTTTCACAAAATCAAGATAGGGAATCAAGTAGGATATTCTGGTTTAATGAAGTGCTGACTCCAAACTTACGTAATCCCGGTGCCTTATTTGTTCAGTCAAGGGTCACACTAATCAAAAACCAACCTTATTTTATCAGTGATTTCATTTTCTTCTCTGTGTGTTTTGGTTTTCTTTTTATTAGAATACAATAAAAACATTAAAGTTCAAATAGAAAGTAGTGCATCTAGAGCAGTTTTATCGCTATGTAAAATGACTACCTCCTGACTAAACTGACGTCATGGCATCCTGCAGGGTCACATGACCGAATGAGGAATTTAGCATCGTCTGCTATCTTAGTGAATTATTTTATGCTATAAACCACAACATGCTGTGAATGTTTTCACTTGTGCTGTATTTAGTTCTGTACTTTTTATCAAATGAGAAACTAAATGTTTATATTTGAACTTTATAGACTAATATAATCTAGTATTTTAACTAGTTTAACATTGTTATGCTGGCTTACACTAATATTACCTGTATAGTTTATTTGTACATTCTTAGTGTTTGCTTTTCTTTATTTTTGCATGTGTATGGAAAGCATTGTTCTAAGTTTGACCGAAAGGCCTTTAATAGACCACTGCTTCTGTTGAGGGGATTAGAGAAATGGCACGTAAAGAGGCAAAGGTACTGTGTTGTCCATAAAAGTACAGTAGCACCAAACCTCTGTATTTTCCTTTTACAATGGCGTGCAATGACTATTACCTGCATTAGAGATGCCATGTAGCTTGGGGACTCTGCAGGGTCACAAAATTCAGCACTGCACAGAACAGAGCCATGCCTTACACAGATGCAGGGGCGCTGTATGTTAGGACGATTCTAAGGGCCCTTGACTTAGGGGGGCCCAAAAGAAGAATAAAAGATTTGTCTTGCTATAGTTTTCAAATATAATAAGATAATCCAGCAGTACAATAAATTATCCTCATGTCCTGCCTCGTTTTTCAGCAGTAAACAGTGAAACAAATCATGAATTAAAAAAAAAAATGGTTTGGTGCTCAGGTCCTGCATTGCATCAGGTCTCCCCGTCTGTCACTTGCAGTACACTCATACTGGGGCTTAAATTACACGCGCATGTGACTTGACATAGTGATAATGAAAAAAAAAACAACAAGAAAATGTGTAAATAAGCAACAGTGTGGTGAAAACATCTGTGGCTGAAAAATGCAGATCCCAAAGTCTGGGTTTCAAAAAGGAAAGAGGACAGACGGAGAAGGCGTACAATACCGTAACCCAGTTTCTCTCTCGATTCTCTCTCGATTTTTTCAGAAACGTTTTTTAACTGAACAGTTCAAATTAACAACAGATTATTAACCTGTTAAGTAAAATAAGATTGCTATACGCTGGATACAACTACTTAGTTATACTTCATTATTTTCAGAGGGGAATCAAATTATTAATGATGCCACCCAGCTAGGTGCTAACTGAAACAGAACATGACTGCAAGTTTTTTATTATATAGTTGTGTTTCGTTTTAGTTTTAAAGAAAAAATAAACCAGGATTAATCTAGCCTTTAATGAGCCTATTGCGAGGCCAAACAACTAAGCCAAAAAGCACACATAGTTGAGAATTTACCTTTATCAACCAAACCAGGCAACAGCAAAACACCATAGTTATCAGAGGGTTAAATTCAGCTAAATGCTAATAAAGGTTTAGCAGGATATTTACATTAAATAACTTTCTTTATCCCTCCTTCCTCATGTAAACAGATGATCCACCAGCAGCCCTGTTTTTTCAATCCATTTGTTTGCATTATGTTAAAAACAAGTTTCAAAAGTAATATTGAGCTTCTTGGGTTCCTAAAGTCTGCCTTCTGTGAAAATAATTAGCCTTTAACATAAAGATGATTTACTTTAATTTTTCTAGAAATCCTTTTTTGTTTAAGATACAGTATTTTCTTCTGAAAGTAACCTACAAACCTGCAGCAGCACAAATATAGTAGGTCAACATGTCATATTTTCTAACCTCAAGTTCATATGGTCAATTAAAGGTATAGTGGAAGACGTTCTTTTTCTGTGTGGATCATCAAAATAGCGATCCTCCTAATTGTCAATCATTCTGGTGATATGTTTCAGGCCGTACTACATGCTCATCTCCATTTTCAGTTACCAGTGGTGGGTCTGACATGGTGGAAAATTTGCAAATCTTCTTTTGGAAAGTAAGCTTGTATGAGCTATGAGAATAGCAACTTTTAAACAGAGCGGGCACAAGGAGAAATGGGCTTATGCATGCTCTTGCGTGCGTTTAATAGGTGTTCCTTCTCGGGAACGGGTACAGAGTTGTGCATGTGCATTTCTTTTTAAAGTGGAGGGGGCGGCTCTTTTCAAAAATTCGCGAAAATCCTCCATTATACCTTTAAGTTAGAATGAAAATGTTTTCAAAGAAAAATGTATTGTTTTTTGTCGAAACCCTTCGAGTTTTAAAATACTAAAACTTTTCCATTTTATTTATTTTGCAAAATAGATTACTTTAGATAGAGAATGAATCTCCTTATTTTATGTGACATTTGACTATGAGGCAATGGCAAGATTGGCTAATGGTGGAAAGAAATATAATATAATCTCTTAATAGCAAAATTTCCAGTTGGACTATAATGAAAACCTCACTGATTTGTATAACTTTCAGTCATATTTAATATATTTCCATCCAACTTTTATCTATACTTAGAATGATATGAACTTAAATTATGAGTGGAAGCCGAGTTTTAAAAAGAACAACAATAGTAGAAAATAAACATGGCTACATGACAGATGGCTAAACGTTCCAGAAAGGAATACCGAAGTAGCACTAACTGCTCTGTAGGTTACTGCCACCACAAACTTTGGTAAGTAAATGGACTGCTGCTAATGCAGGGTAAATTTCAGGCAGCCTTTCTCCCAGTCATGATGCAAGCACAACCTCTGTACAGTTCTCTACATTAAATAACCAAATATGAGATCTACCAAATCATCACACCTAAAAATTGGACTACCTAGAAAAAAACATATAAAACCAACTTTTTTAAATGTGTGCTAGTCAGGAAGATGAAATATGTCAATTCATTGAGAGCATCACAAAAGCTCAAATGTTTTTGTTACTTACCATCAACACAGGAGGGCATAGCCCGAGTAGTGCCGGCAACTTGGCCAGGGAAACAGGAACATTTGACAGTTTGAGATCTCTCCTCAATCTTGTTCTTGTTGCAGCAGCGGTGGGCAGCAATTACCTCACATGTTCCTGCCTTTACGTGCACTGCAATAGAAAAAAGGTGCAAGAGAGAAATATTACTTCCAAATATTTATGCTGAAATATGCTGTATAACCATACATGACAACAAAATAAATATTATGATTTAAAAAAAAAAACTATAATATAATATTTCTAGATTTTATAATTTCTTAAAATCAACAACAAAAAGGTTTTCAAAAGATATTTATTGAAGCGGACACCTGATTGAGCCTACTACAAAATGTTGTTTTAGTCAACCTACACAAATATCATAGCACAAAGAGTGGGTAAGAATAAATAGAATGAAGTAGAATAAAGCCGAGTACAGCAGAGTAACCACTTTAGTGATGTTCTCAGTAAGCAATGAGTCCAAGATGTCATTTACATTCTGAATCTTCCCAGACATAGAAGCATTTTTATGGATAGGGCCATTTATTGGGATACTTGGAAGTGAGATGGTAGGAAAAAAACAACAAAGAAAGCTCCAAAGTGCAGTAAAGCTGTTATAAAAATAAGTTGTAGTAGACTGGAAATGAAATGCATTATGAAATAGAAACTAAATGGAATTTGGAGAAACAAGGGGAAGAAAAAAAATTGGACAATGGTCCATATAAGATATTATATATAAAATATTTATACAATATAAAATATATATTATATATATATATATATATATATATATATATATATATATATATATATATATATATATATATATATATATATATATGATTTTAGTTGCATCCTGGTTAAATCATTTATTGGGGAATGTCAAGAAACTAGTCCTCGTATCTGTTAATGCCAAGCAGGACTATTGTAACTTTTCACAATCAAGAAGTCCACAAAGTGTGGTATTAAGTTTTCTGCCGATCCAAAGTCATACAGCGAGAGTTCTAATATAAATCTAAAAGACAGATTGAATTTCTCCTTCATTTGTTCCCTGTTAAATCTAGAATCTTAAAAAATATATATATATATATATATATATAATGTATAAATTCCTAATTAACTAAAAACCATTTACAATTATTACCATTACAAGTTCTGAGTGTGTCATGTTTCTAGCAGATCACTTTTTTTCTGAACCTGCAGGTTTAGTAGTGATAATAGTGAGTTATTTTGGTTATCGGGCTCCTCTCCTGTGGAACCACCTACCAGTTTTAGTAAATGAGGCAGACACCCTGTCTACTATTAAGACTACATTTAAAACTTTCCTCTTTGATAAAGCTTATAGTTACGGTATCTCAGGTAAAAGTGCAAGTTAAGTTCACTCTGCAACACATGCAATATCTACTAACCTTTGCACAACATTAATATGCCCAGTACTACTCTCACATCTTTGTCGTACAAACACAGGTCTGATGTGAAAAGCCACTTTACAGCTTCTGCTGCAGCCAATTTTGTTTTTATTTATATGTGCACCCATTTCAAAGAAGCTGGCATGTGTTTAATTAACAACCACTACACCCCGAGCCAGAAGTCCCTTGAGTGAGGCATGAGAGGGGAACAAAGAAAGGCACTCTATATTTGAAGATTCGTGATGTCAACATATGGGCCTTTCATATGAGCCTTTCATCAAATACATGAAAATGTCAAGGGCAAACAATAAGGCCTGTCAGGAGCTCTGTATTATAGTTTGCAGTGTATCCCTTCTCATAAGCTACATAGTACTACTTCTTTTGAGTCATATATTGAGATAAACTTCACTTTTTTGTGCGTGTAACAAAGGACCATGTATAATCGGCCCTGTGATTTAAAAGTACTTGATTTTGTAAGGTTGTTTTTTTTCTTTAGACAACTGTAAGAGGTCAATATACTGTAATTCCCATTACAAATTATGTCCCTGTGGTAGGAAAAAGTGAAAATCCTGCAAAAAATAAAAAATAAAATAAAATAAAACAAAAATGCCAGGTTTCTGTCTGAAGAGTATTTAGACCAAGAGAGATTCAAGAAGTTCACTAATTTGTTCTGGTAATGAGAAAAAGGCAAAGAAGAAGAACTCCATAGTCCATTCCAATTAAAGAAACAATGACAAACTCTTTATGACTTAATCTTTCCCACAGTGTGTCTGTTCAAATTTGTTCTGCTGAGTTTTATTTTTTGTAACAGAAGCACATTGACCAAAAGATTGATCTTTCTGGTCATGAATACAACAGCCATTATCCATACAACCATTTGATGTTTTATTGTATTGTACATTTATGTTAACAGAAGACATTACTTTTTCAGATCTGGGCCTTACTTTTTAAATTTTTTTCACACAACCATTATAGATTGACTTTTAAAATGAAAAAAAAAAAAAAAATAAGACAGAATGTAGGGTGACAAGAAAATGATTTGTTGGAATCCAGGCTAAGAATCTGTTTGCATTTTCTCTTTGCGCATGTGTTGGGTTTCTCTGCAATGTGGTTTAACTGGTGACTCTACACTCTCTTTAGTAGTGGGTTTGGCATATATTGAAGCCAAATAAGAGATGCATCATCATGCATCTCTTTTTTGGCTTTATGACGGACTGGCAATCACTCAAAGGTGCCAGATAGCTGCTTGAATAGACTACAAGCAATATGCCCTGGCCAGCCCCTCAGCCGAGCCTCATTGTTCACTGTCAACTTTTTCTACTTTGCATTTTAAACAAACAGCTGCTGCATGAAACTAAGTGAGCTTTTTTTTTTAGGCTTTGCTGTAATTCCAACCAAAGCACATTTTTTTGTAAATTTAAAACCTAAATTGCATGTTGTAGAATATATATAGTTGTACTGCATAAGAACTAAAAGCAAAATCTAGCAGGTCATGCGTTTCATACATGGGAATAAAATGGACACATTGAGATAAAATGAGTGAAAATCAGAGAAAATTCAAGTGAAGAAGGAGACACTACCAAGAGTATCAAGAGTATTTGCATTAGCACAGCATGGGAAAATCAACACCCAGCGAAAAACACCTTAATCAAGTCCCCCACAGACATACATACACTCCGCCCCATTTTTAGGTTCTGCACCTGCAGTAGTAATTGAATGAGCATTAGCAAGAACAGCAACACGCTGAGCTCAGCAGGAGGAGGGCAATAAAGAGTAGGTGGGGGGTTTACTAAAGGAATGATTTGATTACACATATCGGGGTTAATAGATGGTGGTATTTTCTTTCCAATAAGGGCCATATGGTAAATTAACGTTGCACTAAAGTCCCTTGACAGAATGGCTGGGTGATTTAGTTTGGCTTTGCTTTGAAAATGGTAAGTTAAATAGTTAGTCTATTATATGATAGAAAATTCTTTGACTACAGTATGCTCCACATAACTAGTGCCCGAATGTGCCGATTGCATAACTGAGAACTGAACTAGATATCTGTTATTGAGATGAAAATAACAGCTTTGAGAATAAAACCCTATTTCTTGTGATCCTAACGCCTTATCAATTTCTGCTCTTCTCTCTCACATCACTTTCACCCTTCCATGCTCACGCTTTTGTTTTACCTCATCCTCCTGCTATTTCAAAAATGACCCCCTTTTTTTCCTCTCAGCTAATGCAGTACCTGATGTTTTTCCTTTGCTCCTGCTCTTGGATGAGTGCAAAGCCTCCCAGCAGGGTAGAAAACTATTATCTTCAATCAGAGGCTCTAAAATCTGAGGGGTTTTGCACTTCCTATAATGGGACCTCTCTTTACTTACTGTGAGTATACCTCTGTTTCATTTAGCTTGATCCAAGTTTTTCTTCTTCATGCAAGCGTTTGTCATCCTTTTCTCTCTTAACACAGCAGTGGCTGTTAACCCCATTTACTAAAGATGACAAGCAACTGACAGACTGACAGATGGACACATCGCCCAAACAGCCCAGAGGAAGTGAATGAGAGTGTGAGTCCCCCTGTGAGTAATAAATCACTTGATCCCAGCAGGGTGCTTTTTTTAATGCCATCCCTGTCACTGTGGGCCATTCTCTTACTTGCACTCAGACAAAGTTGAATATATTTAGCAAGCAGATGAGAAATAAAATTTATAAAGGGGAAAAAATTTATTAGGAGTAAAACACTTTCAGCGATCACCATAGATGTGGATATAAATGTATTTAGTCTTGTTTTGTTAAACCAAAACCCAATGCTGAAACTGTTATGTAAGAATACTATTAATAATACCTTTCTACTTTAAGAGAAAGTTTACCCCCAATCTTTAGAGTAACAGTCATAAATTGTTCTTTTGGCTGTCAAGTCAATGGCTCATTGGAATCAGTTGAGTTTCCTTTGACAGAAAACTTTTAAAGACTCTGTATGGCACAATATACAGTACTTATATTGAATGACATTGACCTGAACTATTTTGCACATTTGTTTTTTATAAATGTCATCACCAATAAACCTGTCCTCTTCAGTATTGTTCCACCAAACCTCACTAAAAAAGTAGAACTACTCAAATGTCATCAAGCTTCAAGCACCATACACCTTACTGTATAGAACATGTTTTATGATTTTTACTGTGGAGCTCTCTGCTATAGGCCCATTTTGGGCTTCTCAGCTCTGCAAAGCTCTGGAAAGTGACACATTACATAATCTCATACCCCCAGTGAAAGACCTGGAATACCAGGTAGAAACTTGGCAAAGTTGTTAAAAAGCAACTGACACTGACATTGTTGTAAGTGATTTGAAGATGGTACTACAGAGATTTTTAAGCCTGAACATTTTTCCCGGAACATATCCTTGAGTGTTAGTTTGTGTTTGTCACGATTTGTTTGGAGGTCTTTGTGAGGACCCAAATGCAGAAGCTGAGAGGCAGAGGTGAGTTCTTAGAAGATTTAATCAATGATCACAGGCAGCAAAAAGAGGAATAAAAAAAATCCAACTGAACAATGAAACACAAACCAGAACCATGGGGACATCAGGGGAAAACAATCACGAGGAGCCAGGGTAAGACAAAGGCTATGTTCACACTGCAGGCCTTGATGCTCAATTCCGATATTTTTTTGTGAAATCCGTTTTTTTTTGCGTTGCCGTTCATATTTCCAAATATATGTGACTTGTATGTGATCTCTTGCAGC